GCGTCGGTGCGCGCCCGGGATCCGAACCAGCGAACCCCGGGCCGCCGCAGCGGAGCGCGCGCACTTAACCGCTTGCGCCACCGGGCCGGCCCCTCAACAGTATCTTTTATATACACTGTTTCTTTGTCCACAAATAGCCTTCAGATCTTTTGGAGATTTCATCCGGTAGGGGAGGAAAGAAAAAAATTGTTTTCCTCCACTCTTAAGTTCTTTGGCTGGGCCCTGTAAATTAGACAAACAAAAGAGAGACTAACAAGACGAAAACAAACAGAAGTTTAGTGTGCACATCACACATACACATGGGAGCACTCAGTGATGAGTAAAGGGGTGGTTAGAATTTAGGGTCTATATACCTAATTTGGTAGGGGAAACGGAACGAGGGAAGGAAAAGCAAGTGACTTCTTGGAAAGATAAATAGGCCCTTAAGAGAATAGATGAGAGAGATGATAGTTTGTGATAGTGTCTGTGTGGGGGTGATGCCAACATCTCATTTCCAAGAAGAGACTAGGGTTGCTCCTGAGGATGGGATTTACGATAAGTGAGTTCTTTTGAGAGGCTCTGACTTTAGGCAAATAAGGATTTCAGGAACTCAGATGCTTCAGCACAAGATAATTCTCATGCCTTTATGTAAGTATTTACATAAAGCAGCATATTTTGGAGTAGCATATCCTGATCCCCTTCACTCCTTTAAGAGTTTCCTTCAGGAGAACTTTACCTGATTCTTCCAGGCAAAATCAGTACCTAAGATTTCCTGACACTTCACAAAGAGTTGTTGGTGATGATTAAGGCTTGTTTTCCTCTCTAGATGTCTTAAAGCCTTGGACAATATCTTCATTTTGGTATCCTCAGGGCATAGAAAAATTACATAGCATATATTATTCACTTAGTCAATATTTGTGCGATGGCTAAATGAATCAATGAAATGAATAAGCAATCAGGGCCTCTAATAAACTTTTATACAAATTGTCCCCCTTTAACAGTAATATCTGTTCCCCCAGAATTGTCTTCTCTTACCATTTTCCTTTACACAAATATCAGATTTGTGGCTGCCAATCCACTATTGCAGACTTTTGAAAATGCAGAGTGTGAATCCTTAACTGATAATGAAAACAATTTGATGCGTCCCAACCAGCATATAAAAAGTAAATGTCTCATATTTTCTATTCTTTTTTTTTCTAATTTTTATTTACTTATTTTTCTCCCCCAAAGCCCCAGTAGATAGTTGTATGTCATAGTTGCACATCCTTCTAGTTGCTGTATTTGGGACGCGGCCTCAGCATGGCCAGAGAAGCGGTGCGTAGGTGCTTGCCCAGGATCCGAACCCGGGCCTCGAGCAGCGGAGTGCACGCACTTAACTGCTAAGCCACGGGGCCGGCCCTCATATTTTCTATTCTTACAGGCAGATCTAAAATGGCCTCTTTAAAAGAAGATATTTTACTCAAAATTTTCTCATAAAATAACACTTTCATAAGCTGATATATAATCAAAGTGAGCCAGATTTCTATCACTATGTAATGGAAAGCCATTGTTGCTATAGAATTCCTAAACTTCATTTTACTGGCGTGAGTTATAAAAGAAAGAACATAAAAGACAAGTTAGTACCATTTTTTCTTCCATATTTGGTTTCTTAAATGTGATGCCAAAAAGATTGTTTCCTTAGTTCTGTAACTAGGATTAGCCTTCTCCACAATGTAAAATTTCTAAAAACTGTGCGGTATTATTGTTTTAGCATTTTCATTTATACAGGATGAAAAATAGTTATTGTAACAGATCTTTTATGGAAAAGATTTAATCATCCAAATTAATTTACTTTGAATAAAAATGGTAATGTTTAATAAAGTGTTATTGGCTGCGCTTCAGAATCCAAGACTAAAATTTGGGTATATCTATATCCATTGATGTGGACTAAAAAAAAAAAAAAGAATGGAATATAATATATAGAAACTATGAAGGTACCAGCTCATGTAATAAGTAAAAATATTGTGTCATAAAATTTTAGTATCAAGTATATGTGTTTTTGCTTTGTTTTGTTTTTACTGAGAAAATTAGAGGACAAGTTTGAAAAATACTGGTCCATTTATTTCCTTTATAAACTTGTGCAATTCCAGGTTGGAACTTGGCTTTATTTACCTAGGCTTCAGAACAACTCTTAGCCTCCATCAAAGCTAGAATGCAGATATGTGGCCTAGGCTTCACCAATCAGTCAACATCTTTAAAAGACTCTTCTCCAAACATAGATGACAAGAGAGCAGAGACTCTGCTTGGAGCTTCCATGTCTGCTAGGGTAGATGT